AAACTCACCAAATCCTTGACTCAATTTATCTTGAACAGAACAACGCTAAACTGYTGATGAATAAATTTACTAAGTTTACGAACGAATAAATTGACTACACAAGGAACGCTACATAAACAGGAAAACTGACGAATCAATGTACAAAAGTACAAAAATGAAAGGAAATAGTCAATCTTCCATAATATCAGGCCGCGAAAATGAGTTTCATGTGTTCTGGATGCAACTATGAGGATCTCAGATCAGTKAAATTGATGCCTAAAAAAAGACGGTACACGTTAATTTTAACAATTTGACTAATGACCTTGACGCAATAAATTTTTTTAACCCTTAAAAGTTAAAGATTTATTGAAAGTTTAGCATAGATAGCCATCATATGGCATGGGTTTTGGACAGTGAAATGGCTATATAGACCGGCTGAGTGGCATCAATTATCAATGAAGATATATGTGATATTCAAAAAACGAGTAGGAGTGTTTTATATCGTGAGATATAAACACGAGGCCGAAGGCCGAGTGTTTATATCCACGTTAAACACGAACTACGAAGTTTTTTTAAATGACTTCTAAAACCCAAACCTAAGAAACTACAATAAACATGAAATAAATAAAAATATATCAAAAATGAATAATTGATGAAGATATCTCCATCTGAGCATGAGCAGTAATCAACTTGGTTTCCCACATCCAAGCGCCACTATTTTTTAGTGTACTGTGACTCTGCAAATAAGTAATTTCAACTCGAGAACTAGTAAAGTTCTATGATGAGAACTTTTTTAGTGTTGGGCACACATCGAGTGTCGAMCTGTAAATCAGTTACAACACTGATGTTTTATGCATAAGTGTTATAACTAACTGAACCGGTTAGTTATAAAACTCATGTTTAWTTAATCAGTGTTTATAAGTTGAGTTATATTACTGTCATGTGACCCACAGTTCAATGCTCATTGGAAGAATGTCTAATGAATAATTCATGAGTTTTAGAATGTACATTATAACTTTATTTTGCTTTTTTTTATCAATTAATCTATTTCCAGAAACAGTTGTTCCTTGTCTCCGCCCTCTCTTCCTTCCGCATGGATCGTCTCTTTGATTATGGCCGCCACTTGAGAACCCAAGGAGGAAAGCGTATATTAAACTACTACAAACACAAGCTGGAGAGGGAYATTGAGTCAAAATTGCTCAAGAGAAACAAAAAGCGACTGGAACAAGGCCATCTGACCTATCCWTACTTTCAGCCAAGATGGCTGACYAATGGAATACAAGCRTAAGATATGTTGAAATGTAAACTAGGACTTTAAGGGGAATATWGGTAAAGAAATAGTCAAATGAGAATGCCAGAATGTCAATTAGGTCGATTTGGTATTCTCAGCTAACTCCACATATCCATAGTGCCTTTTTTTTTCTGGGGGATGTGAAAGTAGAGAAAGGATTTGGTATTTCATTATTCAAAATAAGGACCATTAAACTTAGAAGTAATCTAAACCTGATGAATAAGATATAATTGTTAACTCGGTATAAATTAATGGGATGATATGACAAATAAACGCGATTCCAAAAAATTAAAATGTCACGGATTCAGGAGCATTCCTGGATTCAGTATGCCAACGGATCTTGGATTCCAGACTCCAAGTGTCTCTTGATTCCAAAATTGAAAAATTAAAATTTTGTGGGATGTCAGGATTCCGTGTCATGGGGTGAATTCTAGGACCATTTTACATCTTATAAAGAAGAAAGATCTGGATGAAATATATTACAAGAGGTATATGCCGCAAAGCCGTCATTAATTGTTGATGCCCAGTGACCGTGTCCCCCCAGGCTACACTCTGCYAKCTCTTGATCACCGATTACAAAATGACKGTCGTTGTTCGAGCACATGACATCTAAGACAAGGCTTTAGGTCGAAGCGTGAATCGGTCATGCGTAGTACCCATCAAGATGGCAACCGGTGAGATCATGATAGTCCCATCCCCAGGCAACTCCTTTTTCGTTTGGGCTTCCTTTGTAATGGAGTCCGATTATACGACTTCCATATATGGAAGGTTCATGATTAGTTATACATTCARTCTTTTGTACCCACACGAGGTTGTTCATGAATGCGCCGTTGCATTGATTTCACAATATCAGGTTCACTAAAACATCGCCCTATTTCATTATGATGTCACAGTATGTTTAAAGTTGGGGAAGCAAATGAGAAGGAAGCAGCCAATCAGCGCTAAGGGAACATGCCCAACTTGTTCACTTGACCCAGAGCGGTAAAGTCGGAACGCGCAGTCGACCGGAAGACTGGRACTAGACTTAAATTATCAAACCTAACCTTCAAAAATACGCAATTTTCAAAAATGCAAATCTTCATTACTAGTTGTCTCCTTGAATCTTATCAATATTACTCACTTTGATACGGGAATTATCGTGCTTGATCCATTATTTTTATCATTCAATTATTTCGTTGTCTCATGATCATGATCTGATCTACATCAGCTGTCAGTTAAAATTTATACTTTTAAAAATTAGATCACGAGGTCCTAAGGGCCAGTTGACCATTATTTGATATTCCCATTCGGTCTCATGGATGGTTTAGGTGAAAACATTTGCACCAAATATCTCCTTTCTGGATCTTACCAAGCATCCATTGACAATCCACGTATTCAGCTTTGTCGCACTTTATTCGAAAGTCATTAATGCTGAAGAATTGTTTGAATCACATATACTGACTCGCACGATATTTTATTTAATAATAATTTTAAAACCAAACCCAACATGTCCCCATGTGTAGAAACTCCGTGAGGAAAACGGATAAAACGGATCGGAATGTCGAACGGTGTTTAAACGATCGAAAAGAGGCATGGGTACGTTTTGTTATAAGTGGTTGAACTAATAASTGATTTATGCTTGAAACTAAAGTAGTTAAACAGAGATATAAATTAATTGTACTGAATTGTGCAAATTCCTTTGTTTTCAATAGTTTAATCTAATCTATACTCTTTTCATGTTTCCATGGAAACGCCCGGGATTGTTGGAACGAAGAAAGGTTTTCACGTACTGAAGCTGCGTTTATACTCTAGCGCTTATTTTTTTGTTATAAGCTTGAAAGAGTCTAATGTTTTTTTGAAAAATAACTTGTGTTAAAGTTCTCGTTTGTCGAGCCACGGTTTTGTTTCTATAGAAGCTTCCAAGGATGAAAAGTATGCAGTCTGGCTTTTTCATAACCGTACTGTCTGTAGCAATGAGCAATAAATAATAATATTCTAATTTCGAGCTCTAAGTAAGCATCTCTTTAGCCTGGAAAATTGATTAAAATCGTTGAGTTTACTTTTGTTATATTAGCCGGTCAAAATATTTCTTTTCATTTAATTTTTCACTTGAGAATGAGTACGTGACCATCACGTGTATTTTGAATGCGTTCGCCGTTCTCCCGGCCCGACAACGTTTTATGAATTATCATTATACCCCACAGCGGTGCTTGCATTCGATCTGAGGATAAACCGGAGTATCGATCGCGAGCTACGATAAACCGTGTTTTACCATAAAGGTACGTTAAGATTGCAGATTGATATATAGTATCATATTATAGGGTACCATTACTAGGCAAGATGAAATATTTTCGAAGAGTATTTACCAACCACGTCTCAAAACATGCAGAAAAATGCAGATATTTGTGGTTAGTATTCGCGAGAAGCTTTGAGGGCAACTTCTTCAGGAGAATCAGTGCAAATAGTGAAGCCCAGTTTTCACGGGGAGCGCAAATTTATTCCTCTATATCAAAATCTACTTTTAGACATGTTTTAATGTGGTAACAACCACTTTTTACAGATGATTTTAAAAATACTTCTTGGTGTTCACGGTTTTGTGATTCGCGCTGTAAACAAAATGTAAATTTGATATTAAGAAATGTCATGGAATCCATGTCTTGTTTTCGCTTGCTATTGGTATTTTCAGAATGCTGTTGCACAACGCCTCAGTGCTGTTCTTCATAGAAGTGTCATTAGTTATTACTTGGTAAGTAAGGAACGTTTTTGATGAGTTTTGGTACTGTTTTCCATCGTTTCTCATCAAGTTCGCTTACTCATCACTCGGTATCGATCGACTTGACTTCTTCTTCTTCCTCTTCTTCTTTGACTTCTCACAGTCTTTTCTCGCTGCCTGAATCATGTTTATCAAGCCCAGGAAGAAGAAGAAAAAAAACACTCCAGACTCACGACGACCCGTGCATCATATAGTTTTTTGATTTTGAATATTTGTCGGAATTTGGATACCTCTTATTGCTTATAAAATATCAAGCCTTCTGGGATGTATGCCAAGATAGGCACTATTACTGACAAAGTTTTTTCTTGTCTTTTAGCCAGGCATTGTGTCCYATTCGTCTGCCACAGAAAGAACCCTCGTCCTCGGTTTTTAACCCACTGTCAATACTTTGTAACAAGGAAATACGTAAAAGTTCTTTAAACAATAAACGGGGAATATACGGCATTCGACGTGCAACCCCAGAAATGCCATACAACCGACTCAACATGGATGCTCCTAAGTACATTCTGTTCTTGGCAACCAATCCTTTCCTGTCTTTCCACTCCAACATGTGGATAAAGAACGGAGTCCTTTTCAAAGCCGCAGAAGTTGGGTATACAGTGGCTAATGGCTTCAAGAGTCAAGACATGACGATGAAGGAGTATGCTGATCTAAGGAAATTCTACAGAAACCATGCTTCATCGCCACTTAACCTGATCAGAGTTAGTATATTCAAAAACTACTATTTAAAACCATTATTTTGATTTTTATARTTATGTTCTGCAGGGATATATGAAGCACCCATCCGATTCTCAACCGTTCCAGTCAGATTTTACTAAATGGATCTCAGACCATTTCTTCGCTGAGCAGAGATTGAGTGGWGTTAATCCAATGACCATCCAGAAAGTAACGTTTTCCAATAGAATCGGAATGCACTATAACAGACTCAAACGACTTTTGAATCCCAAATTTAACTTGGTTAGAGCTGTGAAGAAAGTTCTGAGTCGAGTCAATAATCATTTCTCGCTTACAAAGGTAAATGACCGGAACTGATAACAAATCGAGAATAAGACTTCTAACAAGCAATCCGTATCATGATATCATGAAATGCCATATTGTTTTGTTTTGAAACAAAAACCAGTAGAAGTCATTGTTTGCTTAGTTTTTWTTTCTTCGTCTTTTTTTGCTTGTCATATGTTGTTCAGTCATCGTTTGATTGTCTTTTCTCATAGGCCATCAAGGATGGACACYTGTTTGTTCTTTACCATCCATTAAACAGAGACGTAGAATCAKCAGAAGACAAGTCCAAACCCGGCTCAAACAGAAAAATGTGGAGCTTCAAATCACCTATTGCAATTTTTGCATCAAGACCAGAAAATGCAGCACTGACACCGGTTGCTATTCAGATGGACGATGGAAGAGGTAAATACATTTCCAGGGGCAGATCCGGCTAGTGGGTGCGGGGGGTGCGCACTCCCTCCTGAGATCTGTATCCTTCAATACTGTGAATTCCTTATCTTGTATCTTCATGGTAATGATTTTTCTGAGGTGCACCCCCTCCTGAGAGCCCTGCACCCCTCCCTGAGGAAAATCCTGGATCCACCCCTGATTTCGATGTGGTTTTGGTTTTCCTATACCATATATTGCAAAACAGATGATCTCTGTTGATATCTGTCTTATTCGACAACCGACTCTTTCACAAAGACTTTATAAAACCCGAAAAAGGTCATATAGATGTTGTCATTACTATATTCTTAAAAGTTTGCATCCCATCAGAATTGAGGCTTGCGAGAAAGCAAAAACGATATCTTCTTGCAAAAACCTTAGCCTCCAAACCAGACTCCTGCGTATCGACCAGGCGGCAGTGTGAAGAGCAGTCTAAAATTGTTGATGTTGTATGATATTGTGAGAATGAGTTATCTGGCAACTTTTGAACTGACTTTTATTTCAATTACTACTTAGATATTAACTGCTTTATATTTCTTTTATGATTTGTTTTTATGATAGAAGCACCTGTCTACACTCCACAAGATGGAGACAACTGGATGCTCGCGAAACTCAACGCTCAATTATCAGACTACAGCAATAGTCAAATCATTGAACATCTCTGTAAAGTTCACTTTACTATTGAAGCAGTTTGTTTGGCTGTGGAGAGACAACTATCTGAAATCATCATATCATCATAAGCRATTGGCTTAAAAGGTTTGATAATGCTAAAATTTGCTGTAACTTAAGTAGTTATTCATTGACGCACAAGATGTAACGCTCAATTTTTCGCATTCCATTTCAAAACAGACCTTGCAAAAACAAACAAAAAATCACCAAAAAATGTTGTAATTAATATAGTCTCAAGACTTTGCATCCCATCAGAATTAAGAAAGCTAACGAGATATTCTTGTAGAAACTTTAGCCTCCAAAACAGCACCCCTGGGTGCCAATAAGCGCCAGTGAGGCTGAAAGAGCCTGAAATTGTTGGTGGTATATGAGGATGGGAGAATGATTTGTCTGGGACCGTTTGAATACTTGTTTTCTATACCATTTTACTGATTTATAATTCTATTATGATAGAAGCACCTGTCTACACTCCACAAGATGGAGACAACTGGATGCTCGCGAAACTCAACGCTCAATTATCAGACTACAGCAATAGTCAAATTGTCGAACATCTCTGTAAAGTTCACTTTACTATTGAAGCAGTTTGTTTGGCTGTGGAGAGACAACTATCTGAGAGCCATCCAYTGTACGACTTCATGCGTTTCCACTGTAGAGGTGTATTCACTGCCAATACTTTAGGAGGACCAACTCTCTTGAAGGATGAGAATGATCTGGATCATATTTTGGAATTTGGAAATGAAGGTGCTAATTACTTGACAAAAGAAGCAGCAARGCTCATAAACTGGCACGATTTGGACTTGAAAAACAACATCAAGGTGATTTTATGAAATCGACCTTCTTTATTGTTAAACACAAGATTGTTTTGCTTCAATTAATTTTTTTCGTAGTGATTGCTTTCTTTCTTGCTTGCTTGCTTGCTTCCTTTCTTAATTGAAAATTTGATTGATTCTACTTTCAGAGAAGAGGAGTTGACGACAAAAAGCGTCTTCCTTATTACCCGTACAGAGATGATGGTCTTGTGATATACGACGTCCTAAATGGGATGGTTAGAGACTACATAAATACGTAAGTCATGGGAAATTAAAAATGCTGTGGTGTACTCAACCATTCAGTTGTAGGTTTCGTTACAAATGTGAGTGCATAAAGTGCAATAATGACATAAATGTTCATTTTGAAAACGTCTTCATCAGATTTTATAAAGATGACAGGAGCGTCAGGAAAGACTTTGAGCTTCAACACTTTGCTTATGAAGTCTCCAAAGAAGGAATCGGATCGGTATGTAAAGCTTAAGCTAGGTTTGATAGGAGGTGAGGTATGCAGATAGACAGTATAGAGAATGGAATGGATCATATTGAAATAAATGAGTGCGAGGGGAATGAAATCTGCAGGGTACGGCGGACCATTCAAAAAACGCACTAATTCTAATTCTAATTCTAATCGTTTTGCATGAAGCTTCGTGGGTTCCCTGCCAGTTTAACTARCAAASCCACCTTGATCAAGACTTTTACTCGCATCCTTTGGATAATGACTGGYCAACACKCCKCCATTAACTACCCTCAGGCAGACTATGSSTCKTWYATACCAAACCTGCCCACCAAACTCTATGATGTAGAAGATGTGGCTAAGAATAAATTCTCTACTAAGCGACTGAACAACCGTAAAGGCTCAGCGGTAAGATATTATCATATATATATCATTCCAAACGCTATCTGTACGTAGGCTAGGGTTCATTTTAGTTTGATATGATTATTCCTAGGTATACATGTACGTTACAGAAATTATAAATGGAAAATCAWTAAAACTAAATAAAATTATTATAAAACTCACGAATTGTTGATAAACTCTATACGTTGAAAAGAACGCCAAAATTAATAAATTACTGAGTTTACGAAGTTCCGTTCATTTTGACTTTTTGTTCACTTCTTCATTTTGTTTGACATGAATTCACTAGCAATTTTTTGATGTTTTTTATCAATTAATCTATTTCCAGAAACAGTTGTTCCTTGTCTCCGCCCTCTCTTCCTTCCGCATGGATCGTCTCTTTGATTATGGCCGCCACTTGAGAACAGAAGGAGGAAAACGTATTGTAAACTACTACAAACACAAGCTGGAGGGGGACATTGAGTCAAAATTGCTCAAGAGAAACAAAGAGCGACTAGAACAAGGCCATCTGACCTATCCWTACTTTCAGCCYAGCTGGCTGACCAATGGGATACAAGCATAAGCTGTTGGAATGTAARCTAGGACYTTAAGGGGAATAGRTTAAGAAATATTAAAATGAGAATGCCAGCATATCAATTAGATCGATTTGGATATTCTCAGCTAACTCCACATATCCATTACGCCTTTTCTTTTTTTTTCTGGGGGATGTTAAAGTAAAGAGATTTGGTATTTCATTATCCAAAATAAGTAATCTATAAACCTGATAAATAAGACATCATTGTAAACTCGGTATAGACTAATGGGATGATATGACGAATAAAAGATTCAAAGAAACGAAAATGTCGCGGATTAACAGCGTTCCTGGAACTAGAGGTGTATCAGGCGAAGCTTTCATAAATTGTTGATGCCCACTGACCACGTCCTAAGGMTATCTCTGCCAGCTCTTGAKCACCGATTACAAAATGGCGGTCGCTGTTCCGGAGCACATGCTCTGGGACAAGGCTTTACGACKAGGCTTTCGATAGTGCCTAGTTAGTTACCCATCAACATGGCAACCGGTGAGATCATGATAAGTCCCCTACTAGGGGAGGGGGGGGGGGTTCCTATGCAAAGGATTGCATATATGGAAGATTCATTAGTTATAAATTGTACCCRCGCGAGGTTGTTCATGAATGCCGTTGCATTTAATTCACAACTAAACTCTACACTSTACATTGAACCGTCCCAGGCCATGACTTGTACTAGTGTTTGTACCGTTGGCAAGCTCTCTCGACTAAAAGAGGTGTCGATCTCTAAATTTGAGTTCTCCTCATCTTGAAAACATCGCACACCATTAGAGTTTTGAGTGCTAGATGTTCGCCGTAGTCCTCCAGTTTCTTTCAAGAATCGTTCCACAATCTSATAATGGCCRACTTCTGTTTGCTCCGCTTCGCTATTTCGCTATGCGAGCATTTATTACAACAGAGGAAGTCTAGTGCGAGATATTGGGGTCTCTGTGGACATTGTTGCTAGCCAATCAGATCAGATTTTGTTATTCATTGCGGTTTGATGTTATAACATGTTCGTTGCAAATTGTCGGCCGTTCGGCCAAAACTTAACAAAGAAAAAAAAATCAAATGAGAAAGCTGCTGTATTTTAGGGTTAACAAATGAGAAGGAAGCAGCCCATCAGCACTAAAGCGAGCAATCCTGACTTGTTAACATGACCCAGAGCGGATAATAAAAGAGCGTGATATTGCGTCAAATTCACCTTATTTTCAACCTCCGTAAAGTCGGAACGTGCAGACGACCAGAAGATTGGGACTAGACTGAATAAACCTCGCCCCCAGGGTCATCTCGGCGGACTCCTTTTCAAGATGGCGGTCGTCGGGGAGATGACCMTGGCGTTCRCTGGACTAAGCCGCTTTCTGATTGGCTMTTTAAAATACCTAGTTTTCTTATATCGCTCATTATTGGCTGTTTATGTTCGTCTTTATGTCGGGATGTGCTCGACAGTGTCGCTATGTCCGGATAACCGTTAGGTCTTTGATCGGTTATTGATTTATCGTTACGATGCGTTCACTGTTTTTATTCAAATATTCCCAAAGTTTAAGGTACGTTTTGTCGATTAAAAAGCAACAATATTGGACACTTAAATCATATTTACATCAAATTTACAACCTTTAAAGCACGCGATTTTTTCCAGTGTATCGACCCACCACAGCTATCCCAATGTTTGAAACCGTTGAGTTTAYGTTCCGAGCGACATTTTGAATAGATAAGGAACGTGATCAAAACCTCCAAAAATCTTGGAGGTTTTGATCACGTGATTCCACAGGCAACCCAAACAGAGCATACACAAATGTTTTTTTAATAAAATCATCTTACCTTGATATCATGTGTTCTTGATGTTATTTAACATTGCTGTGTGTGGTTTTGAATGGATTTAGACCTATTTTATAAAAAATATCACCCTCAGTAGTAAAAGACTACAAGGCTGGTTACAGAGCGTCCACACCACTCGTCTTTAATAGCCGAAAAAATATCTTAAATCCATCTTTTGCCTCCAAAATACCCTCAGCGGCATGTCTCTAGGATCCTTCTATCCAGAATTGGGCAACCTTTTAACGGTTTATAAATCTAACCGTGCCAAATCTTCATGTTTGTACGCTATTCGGACTCAATTTTTGCATCCGATCAACCCTTCATCGACCTTGTTGGACACGGACTTTGACCGTCTTGCAAAACTCCCTCTGATTGGACGACAGTTTCCATGGAATCACTTAAAAAAAACCCGACTACTAAGGGGAGTGCAGAAAATTGTACAACTGTGGTGATTCCAGCGAACGCCAGGGTCATCTCCCCGACGACCGCCATCTTGAAAAGGAGTCGGCCGAGATGGCCCTGGGGACGAGGTTGCATCTCCCCGACGACCGCCATCTTGAAAAGGAGTCGGCCGAGATGGCCCTGGGGACGTGGTTGGGACTGAATTTATCAAACCTTACCTTGAACAAGAGCCAAAATTGCTTCACTCTCGGGTCCCTTTTTCAAGAAAGTTATTAGTGACTGCATATGAATCAGAGACGGATCGAATAGAAATATAAATTTCTTGATTATGGCGACAAACTAAGAACCAGTGAAGGAAAGCATATTGTAAACTTCTACAAGGACAAGCTGGAGAGGGACACTGAGCCACTATTGAAAACAAAAAACGCACGGCGAAAAAAACAAGGTCACCTGACCTATCCTTACTTACTGCCCAGCTGGCTGACCAATGGGGTACAAGCATAATTCAATAAACTACTTCACCGTATATTAAGATGTAGTAATTTAAGGAACTTAAGAGTAACACTTTAAAATTGGAATGAGAATGCAATCATATCGATGACTCAACCTGGCAATGAAATCTAAAGTTTAGGAAAGAGATTCGAGTTCGTCTCGGTGAATATTGCCCGCGAATGATTGTTTTCAAAATCAGACCTTAAGGACGAATATTAAACAAGCGATAAGTCTAGAAAGAAAAACAAAGCAATACTCGTGCATTTTTTAATTTTGCATGAAATTACCTTCTTCACTCACATAAGTCTTGACAATGAATGTCGAACTTGATTGCATTTCCATTCTTCAAGTAATGATTTCAATGGTGAACACTGATACAACATAACTGTTACTAGAGAAGGGTAGATCACAGGAAATCTTCTACTCATAAACTAAAGAGAAATAAATTTAATTTGATTGACAGTATAAAAGCAGAGACGTAGTTGTGAGAGATTTAATTAAGAATTGAAAAACAATTAATCATCTCTTACGAGCTTTTGTTTATGTCTGAAATTGATCTTAGGTTGTCAGAACGGAAATCACCCCTCTTGGTGTTATTTAYAGAATTGCTCATTATAAATTCAGCCCAAAACATCCAATCAGAAAGCAACTTGAACAATGGGTATGGGTTTATGAATGATCGTCCGCCAAAAAAAATTGTTATTTTGAAAGTTCATTTTCAGCAGGCTTTTGAAGTCAATAAATACTTCACAGCATGTAAAGATTTAGGAATTTTGAGGAACTTTTAAGAATAAGCACTTTAATAATGGAATGAGAATGCAAGCAGATTTTCATAAAGCGCATGTCGACCTTGGGTCGGTTTATTAAAGCAGACGGTACTTTGTATGTTGATCAAAGTTCTTTGTGAACATCATAGTGATTTCGACCGATCTAAAAAAAATTGAATATAATTGAACGATGTGCTTTGACGGCAGCCATCCATGCCTGCAACAATTACTGGCCACCACGCTAGCATTCCAGAGAAAGATATTTCTAGCTATTTCCGCATGGCATAATTTTAGAATTTTGAAGAGCACTGTCACTCAAAAAAAATATTCTTTAGTTGATTTGAGCAGACACATAGAACGCGAGAATCGAAAAAACACTTGACGCATGTGAGTAAAATATAGTTTTGAGACTGTCATGAAGTTAGCCATGCATCGCTCTTTGGAATTAATTTGAACTCCAGGGTGCTATACGTGCCGCACAGCTCATGCGAAGACTCGGTGTTTACTGAGATTGTTTTCACCATCTTTTAGCCATGCAATTTGTCCCTTTCATCTGCCTAAGAACGATCCTGTTGATCCGTAAGCAATCTCTATACATTTGGCAAAACACCCCGGCAAACGAGTTTAAAGAAATCACTATAGCGCGGTTCTTAAGATGCATCATGCATCGACAACTTTCACGGTATTAATTAATTTTACCGAAATGCCCCATATATTTGTTCATTGTTATTTGTTATCATTATTATTGAAGTATTAATTAATATTACTGGAGTGCACAGCATATAAGGTCACTGTCCACAGCAGTACTTGTGTTCGATTTGAGAATTAGCCAGGATCGAGCTACAATAGCCAGCGTGTTTAAAAAGGTACGTTAAGATCTCTGATTGATATTATTACGATATTATTTATCTATGTAATATTTTTGCATCACTAAAGTTTCTATTTCAAAGAAATAGAACAATAGAAATGGACCTAATTCCGAAATAATACTGTTCGACAAGGTTGTATACACATGCTCGGTACTTTGAGGTTTTTCGACTGCCTGACGTGTCAGGCAATCGATTTTTTTTGAAAAATATTGATGGAAAAATCATAATTTCAAGTTATAGAGCAAGAAATTTGCCAAGAAAAGTCGAAAATACAACTGTTCAACAAGGCCGCATACACAACAACGGCACTCACTCGAAGATTTTTGATTGAATTGCCTGACAGAGTGTCAGGCAACCGATTCTTTATTTATTTTATTTTATTTTTTTGAAATATGAATAGAACAACCACAAGTTAAAGTAATAGAACAATAGAAATGAAAATAATTCGGAAATGCAACTGTAATCGTAATTTTTAATAAGCGAAGTGAACTCCCAAGTGGGGATATGTGCATGGGGGTGGCTTAGGTGTCAATTGCACCAATCATTTTCACGGATGACAAAGTTTTCTGAAAAGAGGGGGTACATAAAACGTCATACACACCACTGCTTTAACTCAATCAGAAGACAGTGGCCGACTAAAGGATCTCATCGTAAGGTAGGTTTAGGACAAATTAGACGGCAGAACATTTTTGCTACAATCACACCGAATGCAACACTTGACTAGTTTATCATTACAACATGGCTACATCACTATTATTATAAGTAATAGCATGGCTCTGAGGGAGATTAGTGATTAAATATCCCCGAAGCAGAGGGCAGACAAGTTGAAGTCCCGACGGCCACAGTCCGGAGGGACTCTCATTTATTTGCTTTTTATTACTTTGTAATACCATAATTTCCGAGGAAAAATTGAAGTTAAACTTGAAAATATACCTTAATTTTGAGCGAATTTGAATTCTTGTTTTTTTGTTTTGTTTTGTTTTTTGTTTTGCATGCTCCAATGTTTTCAATCAGAAGTAATATAAACATTGCAACATTCATACATGAACTATTGGAATGTGACATGAAAAGAATGGATACGCACTGTTCTAAGAGTATCAAGTACTTTATTGTGTCATTAAAAAGGTTTTCGCAGAAGAACAGTACAAAATGATATTGGTAATCCGACCATTGTTACTGATTTCCCACAACGAACTTTTAAACAATTGCTTTTCAGTTCTATTCAATGGTGAAGTTAACGAACCTTAAATTTAACTCCGAAAAGTAGTTTATATATTTGCAAGTATAATGCCAAGAAGCTTATCAACTAGTCAAACATTTAAATTCGTCAAGTGCACATGCTCAGTGGCACGAAGTAGTAACTCGGAACCAGAACTACTCGGTCAATTTGGCCCAAAAATCATCCCACATTTCAGTGTGACTGAGACGATAATCAGACTGTTAGTRATCGTCTCTCGTGCTATTCATGAGGGAGGGATGTTCGCTTGTAAACATCCCTCGGAAGATAAAAGAATCTGAGGTGATCATGGTATTAACTAATGTACAAACTGCGTTACTTATTACTTGATACTACTGGCGCTTCTATGTGATCAAAAAGCGGTTTGTTTACAAATGTGGTATCTGTGATCTCATTGGATTGCATTTCTAAGYATCAGAAGCACGCGCATGTGCGGATCGCATGCAGCTTCGAGTAATTGCTCGTTTTCAATCATCCTCATGAGATTCAAAAGATAAAAGACCGCCGGCCATGTTGGTTGAATGAACAATAGATACTAATTAGAAATCCTTTGTTGAATTTCAACCAAGATGGCGGCTGTGACGTATATTGAAAACGAAGAATATGCTATAACAAAACAGAATCGATGCATGAGCATGCAATGTGATAGATACCTGTGAATAATTGTCTGTAGGTGTGAAAGAAGGTTTCATTGCGCGCTTAACGGTCTTCTCGCTTCTCGATGCAAAGGCACGGCTACCTTTCAAGATGGCGCAGGGAACCTTGAAGAATATTTCTACGTTCTATGGCCGTAACACCTATAGATAGGAGTATTRATTATAACCAAATGATGGATAGGAGTAATCTCCTGTGAAAACCCTGGTGTCTATSAACATAGCCTAAGTTTGTGCTACCAGCAGCGATACAATATGTACTTCGACATTTTTTAATTATAAGAAAACGTTATATTCAAACAACTAATTACGTTTCAATAAGACTTTTTTGATGTTATTTGTCACTCGGAATCTATAATTAGCGATTTAAATGAGATCAATGGCAGAATTTCATGACTTTTATGACTGCCCTCGTAATTTTTAATAAGCGAAGTGAACAGCGACCAAWTTGGGATAGAAAAATGTGCATGGGAGTGGTAAATTAACGTGTCATTATGCACTAATCGTTTTCACGGGTGACAAAGATGTCCGAAAAAAGAACGTATATAAAACGTCATACACATGGTACTGCTTCCACTCAATTCGAGGACAGTGGCCGACTAGAAGACCAAATCGTTAAGGTACGTTTACTGATGGCAAAACATTTTCCCTACAACTACCATGGCTACATCACTATATAGTGCTTAACAGCCTTAAGATTACTTCTGATTGATATTATTATATATAGTAACCGCGATTATTACCCAGCGAACGAGAATTACACGACGAACACTTTCCACATAGTTTTAACACTACCAAACGTATTCAGGAAAATACAGATATTTTTTAGCATTTACAATGTGCTGTTGTAAACTTAGTTTGTTGCACTTATGGAGTCCACCACTGGTTTTTCTAAGAAAGAATAGACAAACGGATGGTTGATTTAGTAAAAGTCATCAACTCCATTGTTTTCTCTTGTTCACTATCRACTTGTGCAATAAAATACGTCATTTCGTTTACACAGTCGAAAGGCATAGTCATTGTATTACTGAAAATAAGTATATGTGAGTATGAAGATGGTTAATGTCTGTTATTTCCATTCTGGTTCCGAAAGTGGACTCATGTCGATCGAATATCAATTTTTATAATGTGTGTAAAAATCTACTAGTCGCTTTATTATATTGGTCTTGGTTTTGCAATTCGCGCTGTGCATATATAGCTTGACAAATTGATAAGAGATGATGTTTTTCTTTGATAGGATCTTCAGAATGGTGTTCCAAAACGCCCCATTTCTATTCTTGGCAGCAATGTCCTTAGGCATTACTTGGTAAGAAGGGATTTCTATGATGCGTTCTGGGAAAGGTCGTGGCCCGATTTAATGGGCTATTTTCTTTTGCTTTCTTTTTTCCAGTGGACGGTATCATTTTAAATCGCGTTTTTCATTAAATAACCAGTGTCCACCACAATCCCTTCTAACTTTTGTTTCTGTTTGAAAATAAAAATACATCWTAATATCAGCAAAAATGTACTCTTTATTATCCCTTTTTCAATATAAGAAAAATCTAAAGCACGACCGCATTGAATGCTGGTCGGACCATTGCGCTGTAATTTCCCTTTGGAACATAGGAAATCAAAGAGAAACGAAAAAGGAATCAGTGAGGACTTGGCTTAGTTTTGATTTTAAAAATCGCTATAATTCAGTTTTCTGATATATTGGAATTGTTTGCAAACCAATCTATCGGCAAACTGACATCGAGCTGTTATTAAAACCATCATTATTGCCACGATGAAGACACAATTAATTAAGGGAAATTCAAATTGGGTGATTGCATATTTGTCAGCCTCCACGAGTGTCATATAAACAGGAATGATTTGTAAACAATCATTYAGAARCATTTATCAATCTCAGTGTTTTGTGTATTTACTCGAATACTGGCTTCGCGGTTTTTCGAGACACCTCCACCTTCAAGAGGGTCCTCTCATTGATTCAAACAAAAATAAAGGCGAAAGTTTCTATTCTTAGAATTCCATCCGAAATATTCATACATTATTGTTTTTAATTTATTGTATTTGTTTTCAACGTAAAACTGCATATTCAAAGGGATCTCACTAATATAGTTTTTACATTTTTTTAGCCATGCACTTTGTCCCGTTCGTCTTCCTCAGGACGAACCCTGGTGGTCCCCATGCAAAGGACTTCGCCATCACTCTTTAAACGTCAAACGTGGAATATATGGCATTAGACGTGCCACCCCACAAATGCCATACAACCGACTCAACATGAACGCTCCACACTATCTTTTGTTCTTGGCAACCAATCCTTTCTTAGCAGCGCACTCTGTATTGTGGATAAAGAACGGAATCCTTTTCAAGGCCGCAGAGACTGCCTATCTATTGGGCAATGGCTTCAAGAGTCAAGACATGACAATGAAGGAGTATGCTGATCTAAGGAGATTCTACAGAAACCATGCTTCATCGCCACTTAACCTGATCAGAGTTAGTATATTTTCTGCTGTTAAACTGCTCTTCTCTTAAGGGTGTTCACTGACTTCAACTGTYGATGTTCTAYAGGGATACATGAGGCGCCCATCCACTTCTCAACCGTTCCAGTCAGATTTTAACAAATGGATCTCAGACCATTTCTTCGCTGAGCARAGATTGAGTGGWGTTAATCCAATGACCATCCAGAAAGTAACATTTTCCAATACAATCGGGCTACATTATAGCACACTCAAACAACTTTTGAACCCCAATTTTAACTTGGTTAAAGCTGTGAATAAAGTTCTGGGTCAAGTCAATGATCAATCCTCGCTTACAAAGGTAACTAAGATACTGGGAAATAAAACACTGTAAAAAACGTTTTTGTTTGATATCTATCCTGGTGTCAGAACACCTAAACGGCAGACCTAGGTGGGGTTAACTGTGGAGGTGACGGTGTGTGCGTGTGGGGAGGGGAGGGGATGTTGATTGTTGATTATTGATTTAGGTTAGCCATCCCCCTTGGGGATGTTTTGATCCGCCACTGCACCTATCTATATCTTTCAAAGTTTTTTGGATACTTYCCCAGGTTATCAAGGATGGCCATTTGTTTGTCCTTTACGAACCACTAAMCTCTGACGTAGAATCGTCACGTGACCTGACTAATAGAAACCCAAAGAGAAAGATGTGGAGCTTCAAAGCGCCGATTGCACTTTTCGTATCTAGGCCAGAAAACGGAGCACTGACACCAGTTGCCATTCAGATGGATGATGGAAGAGGTAATTAGAGCGATGTTCTCGGATAAATTCCTATAGATTGGCRTGCGCGATGAAGTAGTTTATCATAAACATTATTATGAAGAAAATATATATTACTGACATGTAGAAATTTTAAAGGATTTTACAACATGATTTCAACAACATTTTCATTATAGAATCGGCAGTTTACACTCCACAAGATGGTGATAACTGGATGCTTGCTAAACTTAACGTTCAACTGGCAGACTTTAGTACGAGTCAAATCGTCGAACATCTCTGTAAAGTTCACTTTACTATTGAAGCAGTTTGTTTGGCTGTTGAGAGACAGCTATCTGAGAGACATCCATTGTACGACTTCATGCGTTTCCACTGTAGAGGTATCTTCACTGCCAATACTTTAGGAGGACCAACTCTCTTGAACGATAAGAATGATCTGGATCATATTTTGGAATTTGGAAATGAGGGCGCTAATCACTTGTCAAAAAAAGCAGCCAAGCTTATCAACTGGCACGATTTGGACTTGAAGAACAACATAAAGGTATCAATAAATCAATATGGACTCCTTTTTTTATATACACTGATTGATACCTCGACTGGAGGATCGATAGCCTGTGTACATCCGTTTCTCACCCCTCAAACGGATGTACACAGGCTAGAGGATCGATTGATTGATTGATTCTACTTTCAGAGAAGAGGTGTGGACGACAAAAATCGCCTTCCTTATTACCCGTACAGAGATGATGGCCTTGTGATATACGGCGTTCTAAATGGGATGGTTAGAGACTACGTAAATACGTAAGTATGTACGTACGTATGTTGTGCGCTTATATAGCATCATAGCGTTGTAGTATAGAAATTCGAAGATTAATACCAATAATCCTTTTTCCAGATTTTATCGAAGTAACAGACGCCTCAAGCGAGATGCAGAGCTGCAACGGTTCGCCAGAGAAATTTCCAAAGAAGGACACGGATCGGTATGTAAAGAAATTGATTTTGAAATAACATCGTGATTCATATCCTTCATACGTCTTGTAAATTACTGAAACGTATTAACAATCCTGAAAAGACGTATTGAACCTTACTGAAACGTATTGAAACTTACTAAAACGTATTAAAATACTGATACATCGAATTGAGACGTACTGAAACGTATTAACTTACGAAAACGTATACAAATCTTTCTGTAGCTTCGTGGATTTCCTGTACGTTTCACTAGCAAAGCCACCTTGATCGAGACGTTCACTCGCATCCTTTGGATAATGACTGGTCAACACTCCGCCATTAACTACCCTCAGGCAGACTATGCCTCTTACATMCCAAACATACCCACCAAACTGTACGATGTCGAAGGTGTGGCTAAGAATAAATTCACTATCAAACGACTGAACAACCGTCAAGCCGCAGCGGTAAGATTTGCGTAGGAACAGTGTGTTAAAATGTATTGCTATGATAAACCTGTGTGGCAGCTCTAGTGTTAGCTCTAGAGAAGGTTTTAGGGTTTCTCCTAGAACCATGCATTCAAGTGTGTGTGTGTGGGGGGGGGGGGGGTGAATAGGGGTCTCCGAATCCGCCGATCCGCTCATTTTTTTTCTAAATCCACCGATCCGCGCAAAATTTTGCTTTAATCCGAATCCCAAATCATGATAGCAATCGATAATAAGAAAATCATAAATTTCTGCTAATTCTGCTAATTACGTGATTTTTTTAAGTTGACAATCGGCAAAATTCGCAGTCACGATTATCGCCATTATAGAATCCGAAATCCGACGTTAAATTTTCAATGAATCCGTRATCCGGTACGTTTTAAGAATCCGGCAATCCGCTCTATTTTTTCTTAAAATCCGTAATCCGCGTGCCATTTTAATTAGGCCCAGATCCGCCGATCCGAAAACCTATTCTCCCCCCCCCCCCCCCCATTCAAATGTAATTTGTGCCACAACACGCAAACAAAATGAAATGGCAATGCACAACTTAACTTAGATTTAGGTATCAACATTTTTACGGAAATTGTGCAGTCATGAATTCAGTTTAATCCGTGAAAAAAGTGTAATAGTCGAAGTCGCAATAATGTCTGATACATCAAGAAGACAAAGAATATCGTTCAGAATAAAGCGATGGAGCAAGGAAAAATGATGTTCATACCTTTTAAATTCGTTTTTTTGTCAACTCTTTGATCATCTTGAGGTTCCACCATTTTGTTTCTCAAGATAGTTTACCGCTGGCCTTAAATATTGCTGGCGAGCACCAAAGGAGCTAGCCAAAATCAAGTGGAAAACTATACGAAACAATATGACGGAATCTCAAGTTGATAAACGGGTTGACAAAACAACGTTTTAAAAAGGTAATTATTTCCGTGCTCCTTCGAAAAATGCTTTTAATAGAGTGTACGGGTTTATGAAAACCATTCTATTCTTTCATTCATTAAGTTCTTTATTCTTAYATTCCGTGAACAATTTTTAAATTGACGAAAAATTATCATTAATTCGACTGTTAGTTCGTCAATTATTTTTCATTTTTCTGTTTGATCATTCATTTCTTTGCCCATTCTTTTATTGTGCCTGAATTTYACTGTATATCTCTTCTTTTTTATTTTTTTTAATCAATTAATYTATTTACAGAAACATTTATTCCTGGTCTCCGCCCTCTCTTCCTTCCGCATGGATCGTCTCTTTGATTATGGCCGTCACTTGAGAACCCGAGGAGGAAGGCATATTGTAAAATACTACAAACACAAGCTGGAGAGGGACATTGAGTCAAAATTGCTCAAGAGAAACAAAAAGCGACTGGAACAAGGCCATCTGACCTATCCTTACTTTCAGCCAAGATGGCTGACCAATGGGATACAAGCATAAGTTAATTATTCATCCGAACATGGTTAACTATGATCTGATGATGTAGGAATTTAAGGATTTTAATGGCAATGAGTAAAGTAATACTGAAATGTGAATGCAAGCATAACGACTTGGCGTGAATTATAAAAAATAATTACTGGATTAGATCGGAAATGAACTTCGAAACTAGCTTGAGTGGATATGATTGCATTTTCTTTTCAGTAACTAAAATCGAATATATTCKAGTTATAATCTAAAGATAATAATAATGTGAGTCAGTTGAAAAATCATAAATAAAAAACATTGAGCACTAAATGCCAGTTGTAGTTTTGAGAATCTTAAATTAAGCAAATATTTCAAATACACTGAAACAAGCTCTCTGATTGTTAATGATGTACTTGAGATACTACATGCAATTTGATTGGCTGAGTCTTGTTTCCATTACTGAACAATCTCGAGCCCAGAGTCTTCACGGCTAATGTCAGCGGTATGCTGACGCCGGAAAGACTCTGGAGGAATCGACTGGATTTGCGACGCTTTTCCGTCGCAAATTATGCAAATTAGGTCAATTTTGTTTTTGCCGCTTTAGAGCATCAAAATGACAAAAAAGAAGAAGGTTTAGCACACAACTTAGTTTAGGAACAGTATTGACACCTTTTAAAAAACACAAATGTGTGAAAACATGTGTGGTTATGCGATAAAAGTATGACATTTTTGATCAAACAGGCGAGCGCGCGCTGGCGACTTGAAAAACCGCTTTGAAAACAATGCGCGCTCGCGTCATTTTCAACCAATCACGAATCGAGAAAAAATTGTTTCCTCCAGAGTCTCTCACGCATTGACWTCCGCTGGATGGCAAAAGTGTGGGCTTTGGGTACGAGATTGATTACTGAACAGACCACACGCGCGCGCACCTTAAGCAGAGCCCGCACTTTCATCATCAGACCGCTGACATTTAACCATGAAGACTCTGGGCTCAAGATTATGCTTAACGCGCGCACTCTACGCACTTGCCGATCAAAACAATGAATTAAAAATAATAAGAAGCYATAGACAATAGAAACAAGGCTTCACATGAAGCTATCAACATATAAAGACACTGCAATAATATTTTTGGCATAAATAGTGTTTACACTGAACGGAAACGTGTTTCTATCGATTATATTATTAGCCGAGACTATTTATACAACAAACGTCGCGAAATTTTGACGTTATCTATATTGTTTTGTTATATCTATCGCCGACAATGTTGTGATGTATTCGACTATTCAATCGCAGCTGTTGTCGCTTGTTGAAAAGCCGTAACAAAGCTAGCGTAATGAATATTTTTATCGTTCGACGTACACATTGAAATGACAGTTCAATTGAAGAGATTATAGATATGGATATATATCAGTATATCTGACGTTTGGTAATTGATATAATTGAAGAACAATGCTATTCATTGTGCTTAATAACGATGYATTTTTAATATATGACCTTAGTAATTGTTCTTACACTGGAATAAAAATACAGCAATTCGTGGGAGGTAGACTGTCGTTATCCTMGTTTATTGAAATCTATTGTACATTAGTCCTCCTGTGACGTCACGAATTTCAAATGAATGACAAGCTAGTAGCGTATAAACACATAAGTCGTCTCAAGGCTCCACAAACCACCACATTGCTCCAAGGACGTGTATTCCTTCTTATCTTGTCTACGCAAAGCGTCAATAAGTATTACTCAACTCTTTCAATCGTCATCGGAAACCGTGGTTTATGGCATGCAACGATATAAAAGCCATTCTTGATCTTCTAGAGCAATGGTGTGGAGTTTGGAGTGACCTAGTGACCACACATGTGAATAAGAAAGAGCTGGTTGGTTTGAGATCAACGTCTCGTGTTCAATTTACACTTTGGCCAGGAATAGCAACCCAAACATGATATCAACTCGTCGTCCATTCTCGAAATCATTTTCTGGTACGCCGCCTTCAATAGACCGGCTTAAAGACGAACGATGTGGTATAGTCAAGGCTCGTAAGTATTCAAAGGCGTTTATATATTACTCAGAAAATCCCAGATTACCGACTAAACATCCAGAAAGCTTACGCAGAACGCTATCTTTGCCCGACTGCAATGAGATGACTCTACTTTGTACGGCTTCTGAAAGGACTACAGCTACAGAACGTAAAGTGAAACGGACTCGGAGCGTCTCGTTTGARCCAGAGGTTCTTCTTTTCAATGCTGTTGCTGAAAACGATGTCTCGGAGTTAAAAGAATTGATAAACAAGCATAATGTTAATATAAATCATAGAAGTCCTTCAGGGCTGTGCGCGCTACACTATGGAGCTCTGGAGGGCAGTTTTGAATGTGTTAAACTATTGATTGAACATGGGGCTGACATCGATGTGGAAGATTCCCAAGGCTGTTCTCCTCTGGACTTCGCCGTTCGTGGTGGTCAGTTTGACTGTGCGGCTTATCTTATTAAAGCTGGAGCAGAGATCACTAAAATTGTAAATGGAATGATGTGATGGTTTCAATATAAGAATTTATACAGAAGGGAAAACACGCAAGATGCGCAAGGTGAAAAATAATAGAAGAGAGAGATCAGAGCAAATATAACGTGATATTTTTGTCCATGGATGATGTGATGTGATGGATGGACGTCGAACTTGGGCTTATCCATAGGATTAAAGTCTTGAGAAAACAACATGTTTCTTGGATGATTTCATTTCCTGTCATTGTCTTAAATCTTTATAAATATATTGTCGTCTTTCCCCCTTTTTGTTCGACTTTTAAAATCAAAGAAAAAGTGAAAAAAGGGTAACGAATCAAACGCCTTGATATTAAATTGCGTGATTTAAATCGTAAAATCGGGAAAAAAACCTTTTCAAATCATCAAGATTAGTCTACAGAGAATGAAATTATCAGTCGGTGATTACATAAGCTTGGAATTTAGATATTGATTTGAGCAACAAAATTGTTCACCCATGACAGGTGCAGATATGAAATGCGATTAGTCGAAGAGCTCAGAAACCCCAGAAAAACATCAAACGTCAGTTCTCTATATTCGGTGTAAGGTTTTATTTTTTTCATTATAATTTCCGACATTGTTTTTTATTGAAATCGATCAAATAAAAAGGCAATGCCGGAAAGTCCAGATTACATATCCTTTGTCTTGAAAACAAATACGGCATCTAAAGGTATTAAATCCATTCTTTTTTCTAAGTAATGTATTGTTTAAATTTAACTCGCTCTATTCCAGTAATTTTAGTTTGTGAGCGTTGGCTTTGCACGTTTTTGAATTCAAAGGTTCATGGCGTCAAAGCGAAATGTAATAATAAAACTCAATGCTGATCAAGCTGCGGTTTGCAAAGGGTCAACAAAAGTGATTTTCGCGGTTACTTTTGCGGTGAGGAGAACTATTTTGCCATCTAATTAAAGTCATTCCACAAATAGCTTCGTTACCATCACTCAAGTTTGTTGAACTTGGAAAGCCGCATAACTACAACAAGTAACTTCAGCATTTATAAATACAGCACCCAAGTAATTCTRTCAATAAAACTAAGCTCCAGGCAACGGAAAATGTAAGACAAAAAAATACCTATCTATAATTAACTTTAAATTGCTTATCATTTGTTTTCTTGGCGGCATACTCTTTGCTAAAGTCATCACTTGTAAACTGATCGTGGGCTTTTCGATAAAAAGAGAATTTTTGGCCTAAAAGTCTGCACTGATGGGCTTTCGTATACAATACCAAACGCTACGAATACAAATCTGTGTRAACGAGGTCTTTTTGCATTGTATTCTAAGCTCAAGAGAAGTTATAAAAAGTAACGAATACGCATCTGTTTGGGGTAAAATATTTGTAAGTGAGGCCTGTATATAAGAATCATTGAGGTCATTCCCCTTTCACTCTTGCAGCGGTAGTTCCTTTTCGTATAGGGTTATCCGTCATCGAGGATATTAAAAGAAATGACATTTAATTAAAACAGTATCAATTTTTACGAGGTCTTCACGAGGAAATGAAGTACGAGAGAGAGCACAAGAAAACAGCCCATGGCATACAAATACTAATGGATTGTAGGATGACCTCCGCTTATTGTCGCTGAAAAAACATTTATATTAGTTTTCACCAGACTATGAAGGAACTACTTATAGACCCTGTTTTTAAAAGAACCACGTGTATCCGTGAATCTCACTTACGAAAAGTCGCCATTTTTKATTTTGAACCAATCAAAAGCGAATCGATCGTAAATGCTCTGTGTTGCAAGTGGGCCTATTAGGCATATTCTATCAAMTTGAAAGTTTTTTTTCTATTTGGGTTTTTATATATAGTTATCTATAGTGAATGGTGAAAAAAAAAAACACTTTACAGTCCTTGGGTTACCGCTACAACGAAACAATGGCGAAATTTACAGAAATTCTACAAAAAAACTGCAAAATATCAGTGGCTGAAGAATTTTAGTCGAAAAATTAAGATATTTTGATAAGAATTTTATAAATCTGCGTAAAAAAAATGACTTTCTCGTCTTTTTATTGTCTTCCTTTTCACTTTCAACGCAGACCACCTCCTTTACGAACAAGTTACGTTTTCGCAAACAAGACTCATTTTCTACTTCAATGTATGCATARTTTAACATTGTTTTATTTATTTGTTTTTACAATTTCTTTTTTTTTCCAATATTACACTCATGCAATATGAAACTTCAGCACTTCACCCGAGTTCAAAACATAACAGTGACTCCGGCATTGCTGCATATTAGCTCTGTCTATCATACAACACAAAGTTCACGCATTAAGGCGTACTATTTTACTCCCTGTTATTTCACGCAGTGGAGCGCACGACGCTCTGTAATAACAAAATCATTTTCATCGTTCACAAATCTCTCTCGAGTTCTTTGAAATTCGTATCGTATACAGCATTGAAGACATCGTCCACTTTACAAATCACTACATCTCGACGGATATCGGACATTTTGCCAGGTAACTGGTAAAGAATTCCCGCCATTTCAAACCTGGACGCGTACTGCGCAAGCTCCCTGACCATTGTTCTAAGATCAGCTATTAGCAAGGGTGTCATAGGCCCTCGCAATAATCCCCAAAGCTCTTTTAAACTTGGCCTTGATCGACGTCCATCTAATATTTGTGCGATTTTGCAGATAATCAAATCTCGTCTTATATTCTCAACGGAATCTGATAATTTTGAGCGATTAAAACGTGTGGTATTCCCATGCAAACATTTGTCAAGCTCTTCCACAAGAAAACTCGAGCTTCTTGGCCGAAAGAAATCCGTAAGAGGAACGCGCAGAGCATTCCATAACTGAGAGAAAGAGCCAGACCGAAACTGTGGCTCTATCTCCTCAATGTGATTTTCTAACGCTTCCACGAGCTGCTTGTCAAGTTTATCWGGATAAACTTTACGTTTGTAGTAAGAAAGAAACTCAAAAAACGGCTTCAGTGATTGCTTTTTGTGTATGTATTGTTCTTCTGAAAGAAAGGCTACTGGTTTAGTTGTTTTTGAGCCAAGTTGTTTTGATGTTAGCAGGCTACTTCCGCTTCCCTAAAACGAAAATTCAAAAACAAAATTTTGATATTAGCCTGAGAGCAGAGGGGGGTTAAAAAACACTTWGCTCCTGGGTTTTTTTGACAGAAAAAGAAACGGAAAATAAAAAAAACACTCAGTTGCCTCGGCTCTCTTGAGTGATTTAATAAAATCTGTCATTTTTATGACATTCGTTTAAATCTATTAAAATATGAAATGAATATCTAAWTTTTTTCCAGGTTTAAAACACTTGTTTATAAGACTATAGCTATTGAAAATACTGCGAAATAAAACTGCTTTCTAGAGATTTAATTCAGAATCAACTGGCAAGATGGAGAAATCAGTTCATTCGCARCTTCATGTGCTATACTTTACTAAGTTTTGTTCATCAAGAAAATAGCTAATTTACTGTATACAAAATACWAGTAATATCTTTAAGCAACAACGTAAAAAGAAGTAAAATTATGTTGCAAACAATCTATATTACTCCGCGCCAAAAACTGGTTTTTGCAAACGACGGAAGCACTCATTGAAAGAAACCTGACAGCAAGCCGTAATTAACAGAAATAACACTGAAAAATGATAATACTTACACTTAATTCATCATAAGAATTTAAAAGATATTCATCTCTCAGAGGTTTCCCCAGTGATACACTCCAAGACATCACAAAAATCCATGTACAAACGTATAATCTCTGTCTATCAGTCATTTCCCGCCATCGAAGAGGGATTCAAGCAAACCCCTTGAAATGCTGCSTTCTCACATTTTACACACAAAAGAACATTGCGAAATTTTACGAAAATTATTAGACTAAACAAATCTTTTCCTAAAATTGCCAGTGTTGTGATAGTCACGTCGATATTTTCATGGCTCAACGCTTGCTTTGGTTTGTAACTACGGTTTGAATGCGAATTTTGGCAGCGCATTCATCCATAGAGGTTAAGTGGGTCGCCCGTCAAAACAGTAATTTCATTTAGCTCCCWAAAAAGCCAAATAAAATTGCCTTTATACTAAATAACTGGCTCTGCAAATACTGAAAGCTTCTTATCAATGCACACAATTTCATTATAAGATGTTTGTGGGAAAGAAAGTAAAGATATAAATCGTTTTACGTTGTTTTTACGGGTCAAAGATTTAAGGGCGTTAGAGGATGTTAAAGGCGAAGCAAACAACGTTGCCACATGTAGCCACTCAGTAATGGTACAGTGAACTGATGTAGTTTACCAGTCGATTCAACCAGTAAACGTCGATCATACTTGAAAATTTAAAAACAAGATAGCTTAAGTGATATTTTTATTRCTAGAAATCCATTAACATTCTTGGTTTTAAGTCGGATATATCATATCTCTGACATTATGAGCTAYAGCGTATCCTTTTAATGATTTTGTTTTTCAATTTTATTGGTTTAAATTTAATTTTTTATTGATTTTAATCATATCTTGCATATAAWTTTTATATTCATTTTTAACCAAGTGACTTAGAAAACATGAGAATTTAGAGACGATCGATATATGACATAACAGAAAAAACTACAGATAAAAATGATGAATTTTATGAAAGAGGTAATGCTATCATCTTTTTTTATGTTTATTACATTAAATATTATARTAATCCTAATTCAAATTAATTCAAATTGATTATATCATATATCCTATATATATATATTCAAATACAATTGAATAAAAATATTACAGCAGAGCTAAAAAAAAATTGCTTTTGCTCCCGCAGAAATTGATGGATAAAATGTAGAGTTATATCATCAATAAATCCTCAGAACACTAATAATTTATTAATTATCTTAGCGCGCGAGAAAATTGTAAGCTTTAGAAGAGAGGTTATGTGGAAAAAAGAGGGACAAAAGCCCCCTCCTTCCTCGAGAGAGTCAGGGTAACAAGATTTACCAATCATTTTTCCCTCGCTCACAAAACATTTAGTAAGTTTAGCTATCAAGACGACGTTGCTGAGGAAGTTTATGTTCTGAAAATAATTWTTCGGCAAGAAAATCTTTCGGTTACATTTTCTGATGCAGTCTGTGCGRCGACGACATTTTGTACAAAAAAGCATGGCGARAAAAAAAAAWT